TCTCTGTCTCTTTTACCGTCAAAAAAACTTTCGGTCATGCTAGTGGGCTTCAACTTAGCGGCCACATTGGTACAATTTGCTTTCGTTTCTCCCTTCCCTTCCCCCCCCCCTCTTCTCCCCTCTCATTCTAACAATTGTCTCACGCTCTTTCATGAACCATACACTTAGCGTTACAGCCGCAAATAAATTAACCGTAGAAAAGTTTGTTCTTTATACAAACATAATATACAATATACATTTCTATCTATATATATATATACGATATATTACCGTTCGTTCGATTTCGCTCGGCGCGTGGTACAATGCGTATAATTCATTATGTATAGAGTTATCTATGCGTAAGTGGTATGTCTGGACGATACGCTACTCCGCGTACTTCATTCCTCTACCGTTCGCGCATGCAAAAACACAAATACACACGTACAGACACATCTTCGCCTCTTTCGTACGTCACTAAGCGCGTGGTCTGCAGTGAAGGACGATGTTGGATTTTGCTCTTTCTCTCTCCCACCCGTTGCATTCTTTCCAACGCATTATTGCTCTCTCTCTCTCTCTCTCTCTCTCTCTCTCTCTCTCTCTCTCTCACACGCAAAAACGCATCAAGACGTAAACACACAAGTACTCGCATACACACATTTCATGGAAGAATAATAAATAAAGACATTCGCGACGTCAAACGTACAAGTTCGTCAAAATCCGATATCGTTCTCCTCGACTTAAATGCAACTCTTGTACTTGATGTAATTCACTTTTGCTCCCTCTGACCCCACCCCCACACACGTCCGATATGTCCATCAGGGTGGGGCCCTACGTTTCTAAATTTTCTGATCTTCTGATCACTGAGGAAACACGCGGTGTTTCTTCCACGTGTGGATAGGTTTCCGCTCAAAGCTCCGGCGTGACCGGATCCAACAGCCTCTTCTCTGGGTCCCTCGAGTCTCCAATATCGCTGGTGATGGGGTGATGCCTGCTACCGGTCACGTTTGGATTACACCGGCAGCCTTGTGCAGCATGACGCGCGTGACAAGCCTCGCAAAGGGTAACGCAACCCCGAAGAGGCCAGTAGCACAATAGGCAGGGCATCACCAGGGATAGGGCGCCTAGGCAGGCCCACCTGGATGCCATGCGGTTACCGGTGCAAGAGCACGGCTCGTCCGCGCAACTCGTCGCGGCCTCGCCGTTCATGCTGCTATCGACGCCACCGCCGCTGCCGCTGTCCACGCAGTGGTAGAAGAGACCCTTGACGCAACACAGGCACGATGCATAGTCTAGGACAGTCTCTGCCGAGCAGAGGCACGTATTGTCACAAAGCCACTTACTAGGCAGCGGAGGTGGTTCCCGGCACGACTCACATCGGCATCTACCGCAAAAATCGCATATGATCGATAGGCCAGCCGGATCGTAGGTCCTCGTGCCAAGAGTGTTGGCCGGTTCCTTGGTGAAAGAGACCGGCTGCTTCGTGACGGCATTCGCTGCCGCCGTGTTCGTCGACGTGGCGACAGGAGAGCCACCGGTTGCCGAACCGCTGAAACCGCGTAGACTTTGATTCCTCGCACGACCGCGTCCCCGATGCGTTGGCACCACCGTGGAATCATCGTGACCTCTATGGTGATGATGATGGTGGTGATGGTGATGATGCCTCCTCTCATTCTTCGGACAGTCGCCGGCCGTCTTGCTATCGGCATCGAGGCGTCGTTCCTGACTGCAACGCGAGTTCTTGAACGGCGTCTCGACGTACTCGTTGATGGTCCTCTCGCCATCCGGTCGTGGCGTGGCAAGGCTCACCTCGCCGATCGGACTCCTGGGCGACGTTGCGATCGTCGTTATCGTCGTGTCCGTGGACGAAGGTGACAGCAGACTCCTGGAATTCGCGTCGCTCGGTGACGTCTCTACATTCTGCGGGCGACGCAGGGACGGCCTGCTACGGAAGGAACTCGATAACGGCGTCAGAGGCATGGTGAGAGGCGCGACGCGAAGCGTCGGAGACCCGGGTACCGATTGCGACGCCGGTGGTGGCGGTGGCGGTGGCGGCACGGACGGCATCGTCGTCATGTGCACGAGCGGTAACCGCGGCGGCGGAAACGGCCGACTGTGATCATGTACGCGCGTCTCAATATGGACGAGACGCGAATCCGCGTCTTCGCCGGCGCCGCTGATACAGTCGTCGTTGCCGTCCCCGGTAATGTTTGTTCGCGAGGAGGGAGGCCGCGTGAGCGGCGATATCGCATCGTTACGCGACATCGGCCGACCGCTCAATTCAAATAGTCCTGCTGCTCCTGGACTTTGCGTCGCTGACGTCTGGAGATGACGTCGCTGCTGACACTGATCCTGACACTGTTGCTGTTGCCAATGTTCCACCTTCTTCGTCGCCTCCAACTCCTTCCTCTCCTCGATCCGACGATGCTCGAGACGGATACCAGCTGTGCTAGCTGGTCCTCGATCCGCTGCGGAGAACGATCCTCCTCGTGTGTTTGTTGCCGTTGTTGCTGCTGCTGCTGCTGCTGCTGCTGACAACGACGCTGCGGCACGATCCGACCAAACCGGTGCCGTTCGTTCGCTAGCCCATCGTTCGACGGACGTCGACGATGTATCTGGAACCGATGGACGCTGACTTGACGTTGGAGTAAGTGTCGCCTCGGTAGTCCGCACTGCCCAGCCCGCGCGAGGTGGTGACACTCTCGACGAGAGCGTTCCATTAGCGAGGATGGGGCTCGGTAATGCTCCGCGTCCGCTTCCTCTCGCCCTCGCGACACGCGCTTCATCCCCACCTGAAAACATCGTAATCAAAACGTCGTGTTATATACTCAATTAGATCAGGTACAACTATCTATATACTTAACACACTGCATATTTTTTCATTGATATTTTCTTAAAATATTTAAGTTTTTTTAGCAAGTATTTTATTAAGTGTTTAATTATTTAATTGAATATCTTCCTTATATAAATTAAAGAAAATTATTGCCTAAAATAAATAATCTTTCTAAAATAGCGAATATCCTTTTAAACGATATTCCTATAATAAAGTATCTTTCTAAGGTTTACCTTTCAGATATGACTAATATTTCAAAATAATAAAATCATGAAAAATCAGATTGTTCTAAATCACTTAAACAGTAACACAAAAAATTTAGCAGATTAATAGAAATCTAAATTTTTTAAAAGTACTTAAGTATTAAAGTTACATTGCAATATAAAAATTAATTGTCTTGTAAAATAATTATTCGTTTTCAATTTTTATAATCAATGAATCTCAATGAAACGTTGCATAAATTATTTTGAATATTTAAAATACTCTTATAAAAACATTTAAATTTTTATCATTTTTTTTAAATTTTAGTTTATACCATTAAAAATAACACAGTAAATAAACTATAAAAATAATTTGTTCAATAAAAATAGAATGTTATAATAAACACAACTTTCATACATCGATCGTATCCTCTTAACGAGAGATGATGCTAAAATAGAAAATCGTGACTCCATTGCCAAGATGAGAAGATGTTGGTGGACTCGAGTTTTCAAAAATCGAAGAAATCGAAATGGTCAAGCGACGACGACAAGGTATGGCGAGGCGTCGGGTCAGCACCTACGCGGTCACGAAGAGAGGTTCGGTTTCTACGTGGGCGAGCATGGTACGAGTGGGCCGTGGAGTTCTCGATTCGGTGGTCACCAACCCACTCGCGGCGCCCACGGTGTGGAAGAACCGGGAGAGTCTCGTTCGAGCGCGACCGATCGCGTCCTCGACGGCGCGCTTTTACCTCAACTAAAGCCGCGCTTAGAATTTTCGAGTCTTACACTCTCGATGAAATGAAAAACGGAATGCGAATCGACAAACGACGTTAAGTCATAATTTCATTTATAACATAAAAAAGGATTTGCTCTGCGGTCTGATTAACTTTTTATAATTGATCAGATTTATTGTACTACGTGAGAATGAAGAGATGAAAAAAATGAGAATCGGAATTGAGAGATGAGAAGTTAAGAGATGAGGAAATTCTGGAGGACCGAGAGTGGGACTAGAGACTGAGAAAGAGAGCCGAACGTTACTTTTCGAGAGCAGACTCTTGAACGTTCTACTCCTCTACGAGAGCCACTCCCGAGTTACGCGCAAACCTGCATTCGGAATCGTGTTGTTGCATCGATTACGTATACATGCGTACCTTCGCGCGTGCACGTAGCTCGCTCATTCACCTGAGCTACACGGTGATCGGCGGCATGATCGGAGGAATGGCGCAGAATTAAATTAAAGTCTGCGACTGTAACGTGAACGAGCTCTCAGTGCGTTCAGGCTTTCGAGGCGCGCCCGATTATTACGCGCGTTCCGAGAATCGTGCGTATATCGAGATCATTAATCGTGGACGCTCCGCGAGTTTCCTCCGGCTTTATTTTATCAGTCGCTCCACTTCGTCGTTTCCCCTGGTACAGCGCGCTTCGATTCACGGCGGTTCGACGAGACTGTATCAATCCTGCTCGAAAATCTCCAAAACGCCCGTTCCGTTATCTCTCAAATCGAAATTAACATTCTATTTACGCTACCTCCGTGATACTTTTTATCGACACGAAATGTAGATATTTGAAAGTATCTACATCTTGCAAGGACCCAGTAATTTTATCCAATGGGCGTTCTCTTAGGACGTAGAATCTTTTGGATGTCTCTTGGGCACGTATTGAATTATTAAATGAATTCCGATAAGAAGTATTCCCAGAAAATAATAGAAATATAAGAAATAATTGAACAATTCGAGACCAAAATTCATTTCAAATAATTTTATAAAATGTACTTTGGAGATCTGTGCTGTATAGGAATCTATATAGACTAATAAATACTCTAAAAAATTTAAGATTTGGTTCCTTACACAAATCTAATAATAAAACGAAAACTTCATATAATATGTTCGAAGCCTCTAGTTTTTTAAAAACACAAAGTGTTAAAGTTAAAGGAAAAATTATTTTTTCTAAAATTTCGAAAACAACTTTATTTTAATGAAATTTTGTTTTTTTTATCAAAATAACTCGAATGATTTTCAAAATCTTCCCTTTGACATTCTCCTTGTATTTTTAAATCTAAGCCATTTTGGATATGATCGTATAAAGTTTTTGTTTTGAACTTGTGTGTGAAATCACGTCTTAGAATCTTTTATGCCCATTTCTACCAATGTAGATTAATTTTCTCGGTTCAATTAACTCTTCATCTTTTCCTAGGTCTAAGAATTAGAAAAAGATAAAGAGTTAGTTGAAGCAAAAAAAAAAAATTAAATTAAACTACTTCGATAGAAACGAGTATTAGAGTACTCAGTAGCCTTCCTGTATATTCCTCGTAAATAATCGTGGAAAAAAACCCTTCGCTCATTAATAACATAAATACCTCGTTACGAGCATCGTATTTCGAAATCGTCGTTGCTTCGATAAGATGCTTCATTAACGCGTTGATCTGAAAATTTGACTTACGCCAATTGCGAGACAAGTCACTCGAGCGCTAGACGATGCCAACGGCGGTTCTTGCTCGTCGTCGCGGCGGAGCAGAGCGGCGTCGAGCGATCGCGGCAAGAAACAGGCGGGCCATTCAGAAAGGGTGCGCTCGAAGTGGAATGCACGGGCCGGCTATCGTCGACCGACTGCCATAGGTCAAAGCTTTTAACCGCTCCGCGCCAACCGCCCGCGCCGCGCAGATAAGACGAGCGTTTCGCGAGCGAACGCGAGAGCGGCCGGTGCGCTTCGACTGGTTCTGGTTGGCCCCCCGACGTTCCCCTCCCGGCTTGATTATAATTTTGCTGGCTGTTACGATTTTGCTGAATCTAGCGTTCGTAGCGAAAACGCATCTTGGTTGATCTGCGTCGACTGACAGATTGCGCGGACAGAACTGACGATTCAACAGCACGGGCGTCGCCCGCGCGGCGAAAGGATACGAATTAAAAAAAAAAGTCAGCTGTCAGGTATAAGAGAAATCACACAATACTTTAAATAAAACGCGATTCATAACTTTATAAATTCTCGAATTTTTTTTTTTTTTTGTAGGAATGCAGTTTAACTTGTGTCGATTTATTCCTGGTCTTATACTCGTTTCTATCAATGTAGTTTAATTTTAATCTCTGTTCAACTAACTCTTCATCCTTTTCTAGATCCAAGAATTAGAAAGAGATGAAGTTGAATCGAGATTAATTAAAGTTAATTTACATTGGTAGAAACGCGCACCAGTCTTATGCCCGTTTCTGCCAATGTAATTTAATTTTAATCATGGTTCAACTAGCTCTTCATTCTTTTTTCGAAGTCTAAGAATTAGAAACGAACATTATTTATGCCACAGCTATTTGTCATTTTATATTTGTAACTCTTTAAAACGTTCTATCGATTTTAAGAGCGGGTTTCATGATCGATCAGAATTCTCTTTCGATTCATAAAGATAGGCGAATTATTTTTCGTCGCAGATACATCGTTGATCGATCGATCGTCTTCGCGGATTTTCCTGGTAACGATTAAATGAATCGATCATGAACCGCGCGAAACGAAAGAAGTTCGTAGAAAATTTCTGATAAATTAATTGATGACAATGCAATGATTATGCGATACAACATCCGCGTGCCGCATGTTTATCGAATTACTAATGAACATTATATTACGTCACATGCAAAAAAATCAAGAAATAATATTGCTTCTCGAGTTTCATAGATCCATCAAGTTCGATTAATCTTTGAATAATTTTGAAACAACGAATGTTCGTATAATTTTATATATTTATGGAAATCTTTGTAAAAAATTAATGCATAGTTCTGAAAAAGGAGTTAATTAAAAAATAAATCGCGTTAAATGTGGAAATAATTGGATGGACATGCGGGAGATACTCGAATGTTATTCGTAAATCAATGTATATTATATGAAATAAGCTTTTTTCTAATTTTAAATCGAACAAACGCAGCAAAACTAGCAAAAAGCATGATATTATATGTACGCGCACGAGTTAGCATTGAGTGGCATAAACAGTTTTTAACGCTAGTCGGAAACATCCACGATAAGAGTGGATAAGTTCTTCCTTCGATATCGGTTTCCTCTGCGGTCTAGATATGCATAACTAACGAACCGTCGCAACAAGTTTTGATTAAATACACCGATAAGAAAAAAGAATTTCGGAATATATTTACGAAACGTCTTGAATCGTGAACCATAATAATTTGCTTGTAGCAACATTATCGCGAACTTTTGACGACTTTTGTAAATCCGGGTGATGAATTATCCAGTCTCAAGCAAAATAAGTCATAGCACATAATTCGCAAGGAGCAATATTACTCAGAAATTTTAGTAAATCGAAAAAAATCTTGAAAAAAAATTAGTCTTAAAAAAAGTCTTAAAAAAATTATGATGCACAATTCATAGCGCAATGTTATTTAAAATTTCGTAAATTCGTAGAAAATTTCACACTTATTGTGGATTTTAGAAAGAAAGGAAGAAGTAGACGGAATATTCTAAACATGTTTAGAAAACGATTAAGAGATTTGAAGCGTAAGAGCGGAGTACAAAGAATCTATGAAGTCATTTTATAAATCGCCAATAGAATATATTTAAAGTACGTATCTATAAGATACATTTCGAGTGCGGGATTGTGTGTTTAAAATGTGGGCCTTATGAATACGCGGAGACTCTTTCTATCCCCTCCAAACCCGTTTATCTGTCGCATCGAGACTAGCCAGTACTAGAACGTCGCGCATAAAGCTCCTTTGATGAGCGAGCTCATGAATCCCGGCGTTTTAATATAGCGACCTTTAATTCCGTTCGGAAACGAGCGCGATAAGGCCGGATACGGTTCTTCCTCCCCGTTATCTGTTTCCCCGACGTTTCAGATTCGTGCGTGGCGCGATCCGCTAACGAGTTTCAATTACATGGGACGATAACGACACTTCTTTCCTTCTCTCCGCGCGCGCGTAATATCGCCACGCATAATTGCACGTAGAAATCCATGCGATTACCAGAATCTCGTGAAATCCGTCGTGGACCACGATGACCGATTATACGCTCTCGTTGCCCTGATACGGAGCGGCGTGTTATAATCAGAGTGGAAAACACATCTCGCTCATGATTACGATTTCCATCCTAACGTATCTATAAAGACTCAAGACAAGCTGAGACAAGCTTCGGATTATGGGAGGATTTATTCAAATTCTAACCATCGTTCATGTCAATTAGAACGTTGAAATATTATCTTGTTAAATTGATTTTTAGTCTCAAATCCTGCCTGCTATTCTAATGTAAAACCACGATTTAGAGTCACATCGCAGATAATTAATGGTGTTTATAATTTAGATGCAGATTCAAGATTAACGTCGCTATTAATACAAAAATTGTGTAAAAGATAAAAAATTCTACCTAATTAACTAACTGACGTTCAGCTGACTTCACAGCTCAGTTAGCCGCTGTGTGGAACTTTACGACCGCAACTTCGATATTAGCGGATGTACATCCGGTCTACAAGTAGCGATAATGAATTGATTGTGAGAAAAAAAGGAGGAATGTTGTATTCTTGTCCGGAAAAAAGATTCTAATGAAACCGACGTCTCGATTGCAAGACGAGTTTATTATGCATACTTATGTTAATAAGCAGATTCGACAAACTCATCGTTTTACTCTAATCGCGACAATTTCGAATTTATGCAGCGACTAAAAAAACTCGCAACTGCTAAAAGAAGAAATATCTTGTGCTGTTTATTATCAAAATAAAGAAAAAAAACTACTTCAAAAAATTACACAATCGGTTGAAAGGCGAATTTCTGTCACGATTCTTTTTTAATTTACTTTAAATAGAAAATAAATATTTTATAAAGTTGTAACCTTTTTTATTTTACCGAGGAGAACACCTTTAAAGCTTCATTTTCACAATGTATGGTTATCTAAGATTTACAAGTCACCAGGAAAATTCAAGTCATCAAAGGAATTCATGAATGAATTTCATTGATGAATTCTTTAGTTACTTTTAATCTTTAGGTCATCACATCGAGAAAAATACCTGGTTGGATGAGTTGAAATTCTAATTGAAATGAACAAATCAGAATTTTCTGGTTAAATCTATTAGAATTCTAGCTAAAATAACCGGAATTTTAATTCATACAATCGGAATCTTCTATTTTCAACCAGACATTTTTCTCTATATTGTAAAAACGAGTCTAAGTGCAATCTGATATTGATATGATATCGATGTAGAGATTTTAGATTACTTGATATCACTTAATATCGACTTGATATCGTTGATTATGAAAGAACAAAATAAGGATAAGATAAAACAGAAAAGAGAAGGAGGAAAACTTACTGAAAATTCATAGGACTAGCGAGCGGCCAGAAAAGAACGTGGGTTCCGCCGTGGCCGACGTGGTTCGTCGGGATCAGCAGACCGCACTCTCACGCGCGATTGCGACGGCAGTTCGCGGAACGATCTCGTGGACACTCGCGAGAGAACGTTCCCGAGAACGCGGTGCTCCTCGAGTCGCCGTCGTCGCCGTGGGTTCGGGCTGACGCTTCGTAGCGACGGTCGAATCCGCATTCTCTTTCGGCCTGGCACGGCGACGGCATCGAAGACGAGCCACGAGAAAAAAAGAGAGAGAGAGAGAGAGAGAGAGAGAGAGAGAGAGAGAGAGAGAGAGAGAGAGAGAGAGAGAGATAGAGACTCGCGAGCACTTGAACGGGAGCGCGAGAGATCCGCTACTCGCACTTTCGTCCTCCGTTCATATTCCGCACTTGCCGCACTTCCCCCTCGCCGTTTCGTACCGTTCTTGTACGCGAGCTGGGCGGAATATCTCGCCCTCTCGTACTCTCTTCCCGGGACACCGACGTCGAAGAAGTACGTCTTCGTCGAAGTTGTCGATGGGGTTACATCACTGTAACGATCTCGTTCGCGTTAGATTTCCTATCCACCAGGCACTCTCTCTCGACCGGACCACGAACGAGGTTCTTTCTCGTCCGAGGGAACTCGTGGCAACAGCTGGATATCGGAGTAGAAGAGAATCAACGAGAGCGAGATAGAGACACGAGTCACGAAACACGCACGACGACCGCCGACGAACGACTGACAATGGGTACGCTGCGAGCGAATCAAGCTGGAAAGGCGGCGGCCGACGCGAAGGGGGCACGTCAGAGGGAGCGAGCGAGCGAGCGAGAGAGAGAGAGAGAGAAAAGGCAGGGGAAACGAGCAGAGAGACATAACGCGCGAAGCAGCGGGACGAAACGTAAGCGGAGGGAGGGGAAACAGGAAGAGAGACGGTGGGAAGGAAGCCATGAATGGCGACAGTCGGACGCGGGGACGGAGGAGAAAAAGTGAAAAGAGGTGGAGGCGGGGTGAGCGCAGGCGGGGGAAGGGGCTCGTACACAGGCAGCGAGAAGGGAATGGAGGGGGAAGAAGGACTCCCTCGGGCGGCGTTCGCACATAGTACGGCGTCGCCATCTGGCGATAACGTGGGGCAAACGCGAGCGCCGCTCCTGGGGCCGGCCCGACGCACACGAAGCTTTTTATGAATGGACGGAAGCTATCATTGAAGCTTCGGATTGAATGAAAACATTACCTACGTCGTCACCGCCGTGCGGCACCGCGCCGCCGTCATACACGGCGTCGGCGCGACTCGACAGTGACGGCCGTGGTCGCGTTCGATGGACAGAGGAAGTGGTGGTAATAGTTGCGATGCTGACGATGATGATGATGATGATGACGATGATGATGGTGGTGCGATAGGCGATATCGTCGTCTGCGTAGCGGCGGGGCCGCCGACGTTGTCGATTATTTCCATCCGTTTTCCCGACGTTTTTTTTTTTCATCAGACATTTCTCCGTTCCGTAAGAAGCGTATGGCGTGAGCGTGAGGAATATTATCGATAGGGGGCGTGATCGATCGGATATGAGAGAAAGGAAAGAGAAAGAGAGAACCGCGAGTGATGTGACGCGATATGACGTAGTAGTATTTCAGCGATCGCATTTCGATAAGGTTTGTAGAACCTTTTTTGCGCGATACGACGCGATTTCTCGAAATGTTATATTTTCGTCTAAAAATAAAACGAAATGAATTTCCATAAATTTATTCAGCTATTTTATAAGAGACTGCACTGAATTGAACATCAAAGATTGAAAAAAATAGCGAGAATAATATACTGAGAATATACTGAGAAAGATATTTGTTTGAATTAACTGAAATTCTGGTGGAAAATGAACACGATCCAGAATTCTGATTAAATCTACTAGAATTTTGTTGGTTATCTCAACCAGAATTCTGATGAATTTAACCAGAATTCTGGATCGTTTATCTTTCATCAGAATTTCAATTAATTCAACAAAACATTTTTCTTCGTGTAATGATAAATTGGAATAATATAAAACTATTCGTAGATATTAAATAGATAAAAAAATTAGATAAAATAACAAAACCATTTGTAGGTACATTAGAACATGTCTCATGCTAAAAAAAAAAAAAGAAAAAAGAATTATTAAAGTAAATCTCCACTTTTATTATTAATTTACTTATATTCACTCTAAAAATAAATTTGATCTCGCAAGATCCCGTTTTCCTAGGTCATTTCAAGCGTCAAAGATTATTACATATGGAGAGAAATCGATCTCGTGATGTTCATCACGCTACTTTTGCAACTTCGGCTTACGATCGCGCAGGCATGGACGACAAGCTGCACGAGCGAGCAACGAGGCGAGTTCGCGAGCGTACAGAGACCGAGACCGACAGAGGGCGCAGATGGAAAAGAAGAGAGAACGACGGTGGATGAAAGAGAGAGAGAGAGAGAGAAATAGCGCGCGGCCGTCTTGTTCTGGCGCGTTACTCCATTCTATATTTATCCCACTCATTAATTCCATCCTCGTCGTGCACCGTTCATTCATTCGTGTGCCCACTTCTCGCTCCCTCTCTCTTTCTCTCTCTCTCTCTCTTGCGCGCGCACACCTCCTTTTCTCACTCTATTCCATTTCCTCTCTTTGTCTTACACGCGCGCGTAAACACGCACGTTCATTCATCTCATCTCTGTCTGACTAGCGCCCGTATCGCCGACATTCCCTCTTTCCGCTCTCACCTTTCTCTCTCTCTCACTCATTCAATACTCTCGTCTCTTTCTCTGCTCCTCTCCTTTCTTCCTCTCTCCCGGCATCGTCTCTCTTCTCCCGCTCCCACTCGCGCAATCGGGCACGTCGCTCCCACTCGTTCCCCTTTCTTCACCCCGCACGACATCTTTTCCCTTTCCTCCCTCCCCCACCTTCCTCCCACCAATCTGACACATCCGCAGCACTGTGAATACAGTGACGTACGCACGTGTACGGCGAGCCCAAACGTTCAAAACGATCTCAAGGAGCTGTATTGATATACACGATGATGAATGAGATGTTCCATATCGTCGTTTAGACTCCAATCACTCGTCAAACGATCCGTGCTTTTAAAGTTACGTTGAAACAAATGATTCAGAAACTACAACGAGATAGTAACGCGATATATAAATTGGTTTCCTTCCTGCGTTTATATTTTATAATTAATATTACAATTCGGAGAACGGGAGCGACAATTAAAACGTAGTGTTGATCATAATATTTTGTCTAACTACCTTGTCGGTCGACTGACCGAGATAATGCGAGTGAACGTAAAACGTTACATTTATTTTCCAATTCGACGTAACGAAAGTGACTTTTTTCGAATGATGAGCACGTCGGGACACCGCCAGCGAGGTGTCGTTCCCGGTATTTTGCGTGCGCACTTGCACCACTAGTTTGGCATCAAGCGTTAAAACGCCGTCTCCTCGTTTCACCGGCAAAACGGCTCCGAGACTCGGGCGAACCGGCCAAAATTTTTTGACTTATCGCTTCCTGGTAGTCCGTCCCGGCCGGGACATTTCCAATGTTTGCCACCAGTGTACGCAATGTGAAACATATGTTAACGTTCGTGGGATTCGGGGCATATATCCGGAAAAATGACGTAGTTATTATTATTAGAACAATGTCTCGCGCAGAATAGTCTCTCGAAGTAACATTCTCGAAAACGTCCCAATTACACTATCATCACTAGACAAATAAGTTATTAGCAAAAATAAATTACACGCGACACTAAGTCTCTGATGGATCGACGCTTATTACTGCGATGCGTTATCGATAAAAGATTATAGTATATTTTTCTTCAAACAATTTTAAAATCATTTAAAAAATAAAACCGACAATTAATCGGCATGTAACTTGAGCTGGAAGTTGCAAAATTCACCAAAATATTTTTAGACACTAAAATCTGTTTTGACCAAATATGGTTTTCTTTAGATATTTGTGTTGAACTTCGAAAATATATTCCATTCTAAATTGCTACCAAATAAAAAAATAAAATTTGTCGCATTCTTGTGATACAGAGGGTTCGACGATTCGTCGCTACTTCGCTGATTCGGGGAGAGAAGCGGACAGGCAGGCACGCTAAGCGAGACAGGCGAGCAATGAGCAACGAGTAAACGAGCGAACAGCCGAGTAAACTTTGACGAAGGCTTGCTTGGCTTAGTCACATCGCGAGCGAACGAGCGGACCCTCTCTAATGCCGAAAAATCCGGTCGCGAAAATAACTCGCACCTATCCCTCTCGATAACACGTTCCACTCCCGCGAGTACGTCATACGCGTTCTTCAAAGACGATCAGTTATGACTTGTGAAGGACCGCGGTCATTTAAAGCCTCCCCCGACATCCGCTCTGGCACTCTCTTCTCCCCCACGTTCAAGTCCAATCTGTCGAAAGATACACTTCGACTTCGATAGAAATTTTAGATATTCAGATTTCATGTTAAATATTCATCCAAGAGATAAAGGAGAGTGATACTTCAGTTCAAGAATGTACATTGGGGAAAATATTTTTATTATTTACGAAGCAGAAATTATTTTGTAAAAGCAACTAAATTTTTTTTATATGTTATATAAAAATATTTTATTGCTGTTAAAAAATGCTTCAAATAAATAGTTTTGCTAGAGGCACTAAAATATTTTTGTTTTCTTAGTAAATAGAAAGAATTTTGTTATTGTATTCAGAAAAAATACGATACGATTTTATTGAAGTATTTAAAAATTTAGTTAAATATAGATCTGAAAATAATTTTGTTGAACCATTACAATAATTATGTAAGGAATTCAAGTATAATGAAAATACTTCAAAAAGTTTTTACATTTTAGCAATCAGTGTAAGTGTCCTCAAAATTATTTTTACAGTCCACAACAAAATTATTTTTAGATCTGTATCTATCTAAATTTTTTAATATTTTAATAAAATTATTCTTTCCATACAAATTTCGAATTTTTTTCATTTAATTCTCAAGAATACGTTAAGAAATTGTGGCGGATCAGGTGGCCCCATAAACGTTCCGCCGTCGGGATTTAACGGAACGGAGATGCGTGGAGCATCTTGTCCGCAATAATTGATGTACAACATCGTGTACATCAATGTGTGATGCAACGTGCGCCATTTTAAGCAGCGTGCTCGTTCTCCAGCGGATATCGGTTGTCGCGTCGTATCGCGAGGAAGGCAGAGACGGCGAAATAACAGCCACACCCGCGTCGGAGTTCGCATAAGCGATGAATCGAGAGAGGCCGGCGTCGTAATAAACAGTTTCGCGCAAGGTGTAGACGGGACGCTTGCGCCTTAAGACGAATATTTCTTGGCAATACTTCAATAATATCCGTCTCGCGGAGCCTTTGATATTTTAACAAAATTGGATAGATGTCTCAAGATGATAGTGATACTTAGGCAACGCCGAGGATGTCAACTTCAGAAATATTTGAGGGCAAGACATGACGCAATATTGCGGAAGTAAACATCCTTATTTATAGTGGCGAGATGCGTGAATTAGAGTGGAGAATTGGAGTAGGAATAAAACAGAATAACGTATGCAGTCAGGTACGCACACACACACACACACACACACACACACAAATCTTCTTGAAAGCAAGAAGTCACATTTCGATTGGAATCAAAGAGAGTAGCACAGGAATAAATAGTTTAATGGCCACATTAAATTGGCAGAGATTCGACAGAGATCGGCGAACGGAGACAAAAACGTGAGATCTGTGATACGATAAAACAAGATAGAATACATGTGGATGTTGAATAAAATTTAAAAACAGCATGACCGGTTACTCTCATGACGGTTACAGTCGCGTTTGATACTTAACAGTCGCGGGAAGAAGAGCGCGTGTATACGCGGACGGTGCGGTGCGTCAGAGTGGAGCGTTGTAAGTTTATTTCGAGCATTTCCGATTTCGCGTGTGCGAGCGCGCGCGAGGGAGGCGGACTCGCGTGCCTCGCGGGTTGAGCCAATTACACAATGACCGCGTCGCCACCGCCACCGTCGCGTATACACGTCGTCGTACCGGCAAAACTCTCGGTGCTTACGGAATTCGAGAGGCGGCTGCGAGAGGCGACGAAAAATCGAGCATCCTCCGCGACTGGAATTGGATCAGCTTATTTTCGGCCCCGGAATCGGGAGGAAGAAAGGCCTCGTGTTCTCTTTCTCTCTTTCTCGCATTCCCTTGAGCGAGCAAAGTCAAAAGCACGAGACAAAGAATAGCACGATGCACGATTCTCTTCTTTGGATGTAGATCAGCCACATCAAACCAATGGCATGCGGTGCTATAAATTTTTTTTTGGCACACTCTTTTATGTATTCCTTCCAATTTTTTGTTCTTCTACAAAAACGGAGTCGTTTTATATATCGTAAACAAATTGATTGCACACATTGTTGGTACTTTTTTTTCATATCTAAGTATAGGTACGAGTATTATGGGAAAAATGTATTAAGATACAGATGCAGGTACTAGAAAAACAAAATATCTAGATACAGATACTTCAAATGTACTTAAATGTATCTAAATACAAATATTTTTTTATTAACATAAAATTTAGAATACTATACCTATAGTGTATCAATTTTTTCTTGTATATCAGTACCTATATTTATTATAAGTATATTTAAATATATTTTAGATATACTTTTTGGACGATTCTTTCCTGCACTAAATACACTAATTAGTAATTTTAACTTAAACTATACCATACATTCAAATATCATGTGTCGATGAATAAAATAATAAAGACTTATTTATTCTGAAATTTTATGTTAATAAATAAAAATATTTGTCTAGATAATTTTGATTCCCGTCCCTTTCAGACAGGGACATTACTTAAGAAATAAATCTATCATTTCTGACTACAGAATTATGATTGAGAATTTACATGTGCATGGCTATACAAACACTCTTTGGAACAAACACATTGTGGTCGACGTTTCTTTTGTTTATGCCATCTCGAGCGTTCGAGACAGCTAGAAACAAGATCCGCCAAGTCCGTAGTCTGGCAGGCTTAAGTAAAATTTAAATGTCGTTTACGTCGTCGATGTTGAACGCAATACCGTACCTAACGTGTGAAACTTAGAAAGATTATACCCGTAAGATTATACAAGGAACGAAGCTCGTGTATTTTCGATTTCGAACGTTTCAATTCAAGCTCCCATTTTAGTTGGCGCATCTCGAGCTTCGCTTTGCGGACGTTCGCGAGAGTGAATCTTAGGATCTGAACGCCGACGCGACTTTCCGCCGCGACATTCAGTTCGGCGCGATCGCGCGCGAGAGTAGCGACGCGTTTCCAGGTAATATCCCACTGCCAAGAAACCCCCCGGATCGACGAAGATCCTGTACGACTCGACGTGAAAACGTCGCGCCGTTCGCCGCATAATCGAACGAACTTGGAGGAGCGAATGCGCGAGCGCGAGCACGCCCGCACGTTTCAGATCAAATCTATGCTATCCGCAATTCCGCGGCGAGCATAGCAAAGTAACACGAACGAGCCCAGCAAAGGCATCCAGATAAGTAAATGGCGACGACAACTTTTCCTCTACGTTTCGCTGTTTCTATGTCCTTTTGACCCTTTGATACCGCGCATATTATATACCATAATTTTATATATTTATTAATTAGTTATAAAACTTGGATATAATTGTAATTTCGTTCTTATTTTATATATATGTATATATATGTATATACATATATACACAGAGAAATGTATTAAATTTTAAATATTCATCGAATAAAAAAATGATTATTAAATCCAATTAATGGTTTGTACCAAATAGACATATACATATTTATAGTTATTAAATATTTAGTTGTACATTCAAAACAAATTATTTACCAAAACTAATAAACTTTAGAATATTTTTTTTCGGTGTATTGATTATTTTCAAATTACATCTTAAAGTTATATTTTTCACAAATTTCCTTACTTTTGCTCTTTGGCTATTTTAAATTTAATGATGACAGTATTCTGTTTTGTATACTTGAACATATATTGGGTCATCTGAAAAGTATCCGCGGTTTTTAGATGACCCAATAAATTATATTAAAAATGACAAATTTGATAATAATTTCTGAGAAATATTCGAACGCTGCAGAGAGAGATAAGAAATTGAGTTCTACAAGTATATTTGGACATCCTCCGCTAGGACATAATAAAACTTAAGAGCATTTTACATATTTCAATGCATAATCTTCTTTCAACAAAGAAGAATTCAAGGAAGAATTTTTTCACCATCGAAAATATTTAAATATCTGCTTTCATAGGTAGTTTACCGAAATGACATGCCGTTGAACGCGTCTTTGTCAAGAAGAAACTCTCCGAGTCCGAAAGGCTCGGAACACTTGCGAGCTTAGCGACGTCATGACGACGATCTCATATGGCTCGGACAGACATTGTTTCGTCAGAGGATTACGGGATTCTGTGGATAATGCGTTGTGCAAGCGAATTTTATGAAGTATAGTCACAGTGTCACGAACGAAGCGACGAATGGGGCGAATCGAAAACATCTGTCGCGGCGTTCTCGCCGCGTGGGGCATACGTTTTGCTCTCGAGTGTCGTAAAAAAAAAAAAAAAAAAAACCGCTACAGCTTGGAAAATGATGGCGGGACGCGCGCGAAAGTTATTCCACGGGAATCGTCGATTCTCAACTTACCCTCGTAATCCACCTTGCGATTTATCGCACTGAAAACTATCCGTAACGGATATATTGGGCGTTCGTCTGAAAAAAAGATTAATCCCGAATGTATCCCTAAAACTCACTCTCTTAACATGCAAATTCTTTTGTTGCAATTCTTTATCTTTTATTGTAATTTTTCTCTTTCTCTTCCTTGTTATTGTAATTTTATCATTATTATTTACTTGTTTTATATTTTTCTATGTCTATTCTATTTTTTCTATTTTTCTTTTTTGCATCTTCTTTGTATTATTCATCTTTTGTTTTCTTTGCACCATTATTTTTTCCTTGTATTCTTATCGCATTTCTTGCCTGTACGTTTCTAGAGGACTTGCTCGAGAATGCCAATAAACGTATCATATACTGGTCTATTTTCCAAACAATCTGTCTCCTTCTAGGAAGGATTAAATTTAAAAAATAATAATAAATGATTGATTCCATTTTGACTTATAATACATGAGAAAGTATTTTGTTCTTGAAATCGGAAGCTACGGTTCTACAACTTTGCTATGATCCAGAATCAGACGTGTATAAATAAATTTTTTTGTTCACAATAAATATTGTTCCAGCTTCTCAAATTACCCTATGTATGTATTAAATGGCGGAAGGACGCTTGTTAAAAGGATTGTAGAAATTCGATGACTGCGTAGGGATAGGAAAACACGCGAAATAGAGGCGACGGAGGAAATGAGAAAGAGAGAAAGATATAATAAAGGGCGAGCATACGGACACGCAACACCGGATACCACCCAGACGACGCCTACGCGGCGTGCGTGCGTGCGTGCGTGCGGGCGTGCGGGCGTGCGGGCGTGCGGGCGTGCGGGCGTGCGTGCACGCTTGTAGCTCATAGCATCTGCAAAAGCGTCGTCCTTCTCATCGTAGCAATAAAATAACATGGATCAATGGGTAAACGAGTACTTGGCTACAATTGATTTGCAACTAATAGTCTGATCGAGCGATCAATGAAATCACGAGCATGATGGTCTATACGTTTCCAAATGCAAAACATGTGTTTGATTTATCATAACATTATATAGGAAAGACAGAATAATATTAGATAGAAGGGAGGAGAGTAAGGAGGTAATTTTTAAACAGGGTTTGTAAATAACGTCATATATGCATTCATTGCATTCTCTCTCAAGCCCAAGTCATCTGAACTTCGTCGAGGGGAAGAAACGTTCCGTTCTCGATAATTAATTCGTTACTCTGTCGGAAATTTTACATTTTTCGATAATCAATGAGCACGATCCATAATAATGGAAAGTGTATCACGTTATGAAATCATTCTAGGCATTTTTTGGAATATTTTCTTGATAGATGTTTAGAAAAGAATTCTTTTTCTACGTCTCATTCTTTACGACGCACTTCATTAGCCATTATATGTTACAGCTAAGAAATCTATAGGTAAACCGATGACCCGAAGCGACGGTGTAACGAAGACATTTTCGGGGAAAAGGATTTCGGTGGAATGAGAGGCGTGCGAAATACAAAGGGACAATGGACATCCCTGCGTCTTCCGGTTTTTCCATTGGCTACGGCATGATACCTGCTTGCAGTCCGATATTGTTCTAGGTACCTACATTTCTAGTTTCAAGTCACCAACAATGATACACCCAGCCTTCCAAGTCTCATAATGGAATATAAAGCTCGTCTTACACGCAGTTGGCGAGGTCCCATTCCAAGGATACTGTCGCAAAAGAGAATTTTACGTCGAGCAGAAACTTTAAATTTGAAATTGTATTGCACACTCTGGCACTAATTTCGTGAACAAATGCGATTCTGAAAATATCTTCTGCATCTTACAGGTGCCGTGACACAAAATCGACATAATATTCAGGCGTCTGAAATTTTGCAAATTACAAATTAAAATATGTAGGATAAAGCGAGATAATTTGGATAGGTTAACAAAAATTTTGAAATTGTATAAAAGATTGAGGTCGCATAATGTATTTCAAACAAATATGTAAAATATATTCTATTGCACCAATAATGCATATTTTGTATGTTCAACCTTTTAAAGAATACTGTCATCGTAGTGAAAGAAATCACGGTGAGTTTCTTCCACTATGACTGGCATATATGTGCACGTTTTATAGTTTTACCTGCACTGAGAAAAAAACGTTGTTGATTCAATTAAAGTGTATATTACGAGCTAGCTGTCGCTAGCATAAGTGTTTAATTCAATAATTCATGTATATTTTTATTGACATAAAGCAGAGCCTTCCAAATGGTCACGTGATCGTGTCCCCAAGATTTCAACGGTAAACAGGCCCTTCTCAATTTTACTCCCTCCAACGCTATCTTCCAGTCTTCCCGCCACACGCGTTTAAAGCTGTCGCAAGCAAGTATGCAAGTATGCAAATATAATTCTTAGGATTAATAGAGATCCCAAACGAAAATAAAATAAGTCATAAATATGGCTTCTTTTGCTTTTATTTCTTTCTCGGTATACGTATTTATCTTTCAATGAAATCGCGCCTGACTGCTATACAAAATGATACAACTCGCGATTTTGAAGGCTCTGACATAAAGGCATAAATTATTATTTCAATAATCAAGATCTTTATGTCAATAAAATATACATGAATTAATTACTTATGTTAGTGACAGCTAATAATATAGACTTTAATTGAATCAATAGCATTTTTTTCTCAATGTGACTGTCTAGCAAAGTATGATACTATTAAGAGCGAATATTTTCTAGGCAATAACAAAAATAAAGAAAATTAAATAACAAATATTTCCTAGTGTCATATTTGTTTTAGCATATTTTTTAAATAAATATATTTGAAACATCAAATAAAATAATGTTTTCTGATCTTCAAAAATTCGTCCACCAAGAGATTAATTGAATACACTGCGCGACCTCAATTTCTTACATAATTTCAAAATTTCTGTTAACCTAATCTATTCAAATTACCTTGCCTTATTCTACTTTATAATAACAATAGAATTTTGAATATAAATCTATCAAGAATTATTCTTCCAGGAACTGGCAGGAAGTCCAAGAGTGCATTCTTCTCGAGAAGAATAATATTTCACACAATCATATCCTGTGCATACTTCCTTCATTTTATAATCATCGCCGCTTAATTTTTCCTCGACGCGGAATCGGCGAGCGTTAAATTCAGTTTAATTATTTTCACGCATTCGCGCGTGGGTTTTACGCGTTTACGCGTGGGCAGGGTTAAGAACCTCCGAGTACCGGGAAGGGAAGTTTTTCCTGGTGCTCATCGGCATCGCCAGGAAACGACTCAAACGACACGAGGCATGGAGCGGTATATCCTCATTGGTTCCCCCGCCGCTGCCGGGAAGAGAGTTTAGGAGTTTAGGGCCGAAAGAGTTAAATGTACTACGCGCGTCTTCCTTCGGCAGGTTCACCCACAAGCAAGCGAATGCCTCGACTCACTCGCTCGCACGATCACTCTGCCACCCGAGAAACGGAATGTGGACGCCATATGGTCGGGGTCTTCGCCCAACCAATCAACCAACCAACAAACCAACCAACCGACCAATCGACCGACCGACCAACCACCCACTCGTTCCATAAGACGTGATATTTGCGAGAAAGTTTATATATCTGCCCCGCGATCGTCTCCCTCGACACGTGTGTATGCGTGAGAGCGTGTGTCAGTTATATGTCGGACCGTGTCCCGTTTTTTGCGTATTCTCCTGAGCAGGGACGAACCTACACGAGATATCTCGGATACGAGTAAGAACAAGCAGGCCGATATTTCGTCTCGGATTTCTCCGGGACGACCTTATTGTCGTTGAAATCGAAAAAGAGAGGCGTAACCATCGAGTTGTTTGACGAAAACCTGCGTACAGATACGAGTCTGGCTGTCTGGCGAGCGGAAGTATAACTCTAGATAAGCGGATTCCTTTGACATAACGGCTTAAGGTTATCGGATTATTATAACAGAAATATATGGATAGGAAATCATTACAGCATACGGAAATGTATAAAGTACGGAAATAAAATCAAGAAACATCTGGCGTTAATTATTGTTACTGTTTAGATTTTAAAAAAACGTTTGAGTTTTATTATTGAGAAATTCATGATGGTGAGATTGAGAAAGCATAATGTATTCATTCATAATGTATTCATTCGATATCTCGTTATTCTGTATAATTGTTAATGTTGAAAAACCGATGCCTCGCTATCTAGGCAATTTATTCTTTAAGTATTTCCTGCACTATTAGAAAGCCAAATAATGAACGCATGATTCTGGAATGCACTTACACCGGTATTTAGCTAGGCATATACATGTACCGTGAAAAAAAGTTTTGTTGAAAATATAGATGAAAATCAAAAGATTTCGATTATATCACTCAGAATTCAGCTTATCTCAATTGTACAATTCTATTTAGGTTCGATTGTACAATGTAAGATAAACTTTAATCTCGGTTACTTTATCTTCTTCTCATTTTTAGAAACTTGTGCTTATTTCTACCACTGTATAGATTAATTTTAATTTTATTTAACTAACTTACTTATCTTTTTCTAGTTCTAAGAATTAAAAAAGGATAAAGAGTAACTTAAACCGAGAATAAAGTCAATCTACATTGCGTAGAAGTGCACATTAGAAAAAGATAAAGAATAAATTGAGCCGAGGTAATTAAAGGTAATATTACATTAATGTTACATCGATGGAATCGACCTTAATAAAAAAAAATTCTAATTCATTCGCTTTTAATCAAAATTTTAATTAATCCTACCAAATATTTTTCTCAGCGATATACGTGGAAAATACGATTGAAAAAAGTATACACATAAAAAATAAATATAAAATACAAATATACACACACATACACACGAGGTGTGCGCCTACGCACGTCGACCCACGCGCTCGCCTCCTCTCTCGCATGCGAAAAACTATTTTCGGCATTCAAGCGGCGTCGTATACGCGCGGAGAAACGCTGGAACGTCGGAATTATACGCACGCGCGCGCACGCATGTGGGCGTGCGTACACTGCGTACGCGCGAGCACACGCACGCGGCCCGCATTCGACTGCATCTTACGTATTTATAGCGGTCGACGAGTATACGCGCGACGCACGCGATTTCGCCTTTTCCTTCTTTTTTCTTTCCCTTCCCTTTTTCTCTTTTCTCTCTTTCCGCTTTTCCCTTTTCGCACGCACGCTGCACGCATTAGGACGCGCTATCGCGCGAATTCCACGACGCGACTTAACGTTTATCGGCTCATTAACGCCGAATGATATACCCGTTCTGGAATTTATGCCTTGAGGTGGTCCACGCCTCCATTTTCGGCGTGGGCCAACGAGATCCCGTTGAACGAGGCGCGAACGAGCAAAAATGTGCGAAAATCCAAAATGCTCTAAAGGACAACGTGGGATTGAACGTGTTTACGCGGTGAGATTTACGCAACAAAAAATTTGCATTGCAATGAAGTCTGAGTGCACTGCCGAGTGGTTTCATTCAATGTTACGGGTCTCATTGTGACGATATTTTATCGTGATATCCGACAGTGATTCAATGATCGTCGCGCGTATATCGGAAGCGTTGGTTAAATTTCATTCCGACAATTTGTACTTCGACATCCCCGAAAAAACATCTCTCAAATATATACAGCTTACAATTTTTCAACCGTTTTTAAAATCTTGTAGATATACATAAGTCACAGTGCATTTCAAATGACACTATGCATATGAGAATTAATTTTAGCTACGATGACAAATATATAATAAATTTCAAACTCTTAAAATAAAATCATTAATCAAGTGTAAAAATGTTAAAAAAAAAAAGGGACTGAAATTAGAATTACAGAAAACGCAATTACAGCGAACTCCATTCATGAGAAAAAAAAAAGAGGCAGTCTGTATATCCTTGGTGTCTGAACGAAGGCTGTCTTTCATTGATATAAGGGTCTAATTTATTTTCAGGCTCGCCTACTTAAAATAAAGCGGATCCACGCGAAGATACGCGTTCACGGCGTTCACGCGCGCCTCCGCGTCCATGACACGCTCGTCGTGCTCTTCAAATTTGCTCGCTCGGCTTCTGCCGTCCTATTTAAAGCCGGCGACTCCCATTCGAACGAGGTTCATTAAGCCTCCGTTTAATTCAAGTCGTTCGTCCGCCCGCTCGCTCGCGTTCTCTATTCCCGTCGGCCTTCGCTCAAGCGCCAATCAATCAATTCTACGTCCACCATTGACGTCGATCATTGATCAATGCGCACCAGTGCGCGCCTCGTCTCGAAAGCGCTTGGCCGCTCGCAACTTCGGCGCCGGACTCCGCGCAATACCGTCAATCGTAAGTGGGAAAATAAACGGAAGTGTGGCAGCCGCGTTTCTGCGCCCAGTCGGGCATGTCCTATATACAAATGCCAATCTTAATCTTATTCCCGTTCGGACAGATTTTGCGGTGAACGCGAAACCTTTGATCTCTCTGTAAGATCTCAATGTAACTATACATGTAAGACTACACACAATCCGCTTATTTAAAATTAACTATGGTGTTAAAGTTACGTTATCCGTTTATTCGCTTTCTCGTAAAGTTTAATTCGCTGATAACGTATACGAAACTTTTGACAGTTTAATTAAAGGTCTCGTTCAATATTGATGATGAGGGATAATAACTCTTAATAGAAATGTATGTAAGTTTTTTTAAATACTTATCCCAGTAGTTGTATTGTTTAATATTATTGCAGTATTCTCATCGGTTGTAACAATACTGCGTATAAGGAAATGGATAAGAACTCGATAGAGTTTCATTCAGAGATTGAGGCAGTTTTCTTGGCAAAAAATATGCAGATACCTGCCCGGTCATTGTCTAGTATTAATAAAATATTGCATAGTTCATTTATTGTCTTGTTTTGTTCAGTAAGTAACGGCTTCAGACTTTGTTCACCTTTTGTGCGCAAAAACTGAAGGCAAAGCATACGTTACATCTTGAATGGAATCCTAAGTAGTTTTACTTCTCAGTTACTAGACAGAATTATGTCCGTTTCTACCGGAGTAATTTTATTTCAACCTCTGTTCAACCAACTCTACATCTTTTTCTAGTTTTAAGAATTAGAAAAAGATGAATTGAACGGAAATTAAAGTTAACCTACATCGGTAGAAGCGGGCATTAATATAATTGTTCAGTAATTGCTCAAAAAGTACATTAAACTTTTACCAGAGAGACTTTCCAGTTGGAATATTAATAATAGCTCGATAAATTTGGAACGGTTTTGTATAGTCCAAGTCGACGAATATATATATGTATACTCACGCACTTTCGCCGCATCACTCCTTATAGTACATATCGACGAAGGATTTCGCTCTCGGCGTCGTATTCTGAATGAAACCTCGAGCGAGACCGCGCCTGTGAGGAACCAGCGAGGGGTCAACGTTCCCTTTCCCCTCCCCCTCCCCTCCCCCCCAAGGACGGCCAGGGAAAAGTTAAAGAAGCCGAGGATAGGACGAGGCGCAAGGCAGAGGCAGTAAAAGAGTTGCGTATATACGCAAAAGGGGGGACGGATGCGAAGAGGCACCGAAGAGAGACAACGGGAAGAAAACGCAATAAAAAAAAATAAAAAAAAAACAGACGTAATGCAATGGAATCGATTCTCACTCTCTTAACCCTTGACTAGACACGCATCGAGTCGCATTGACCCCGTCCGTGCAGCGCGCGTGAAGAAAATGCTGAGCTAAAACAAAGTTGTAGATACCGTGTATCTATCCCCCTTTCCGATAATACGTGATTCAAAGGAATCACATGGGTGATCTCTAAATCGATAACTTGCGAGATGTAGCAGAAGAAACGAGCAATTATTCCGCACTACTTTCTGACAAATGAATTGAAATCGCGCATCTTCAAAACTGTTAATTGCTAACTGCGATCCTGCTAATTTTGCATTATTCTGAAAAAACTGTCTATCGTCGGATAATTTTTCTGGGACAGGCCATGACGATATTTCTGAATTTTTCATCTCGAAGATATACTACAGAACTCGAGTGTCTGCGTTGGAATTATATAATATGGAACTATATATACATTCCCGGAGGAGACCGAGTATATTTTTGTACAGAAGGGAAGTAGGTGTGGTAGACACGAGAGTTAATCCTTTTAAGTTGAAAGCTCGTGACATCGTTAGGATAAAAGCAGAATGTAATTGTCAAGACCGCGCCTAATTCGTGACGTACGTGCTATTCTCGTTTCTTCGCGTATCCATTTCGCGAATCGCGAATATACCGTCACCGACGCATGCCGATAAGTGTGTGACATGAGAGTAATTTTGCGCGACAGCAATTAGAAGTATCACTTGATGCGGGAAATCGCATGCGATACGAAGCAATAAACTAAAAAGGAAATGTCCCTCTTATTATATATGTACGTAAGGATAACGCATACTACGACATCTCGCCGGCGTCTGTTTTTCACCGACGGTGCACCGGAAATAAGTTTATCTCGTTTATCTCACCTCCGTTCACCTCGACCGTTTACATACATATCATTCAATCCGATATGAGCGCTATCATCGCGAATATAATTTGAATCGTTTTGCATCGTTATACAATACCTCCATCTTCGACGAATAATTTTGATCATTCCAACGTCAATTATTCTATTCTCGATTACTACAAAAAAATTAATTTTTACTATTACGTACTGTTATAAATTTAACAACCCATAGTTGATGTAAAAACAGCCATCATGTGCATTATAAAACACAACATATACGTATTATAAAAGTATGGAAAAGAAATGAAAAAAAGAAAAGAACATACAATCTTGCATAACGAATAAGGCATAAGGCATGAGAAAATAAATCAATCAAAGTCTTTCGTTTCCTTCCTTTCCATAAAATAAAAGACTCTGATTGGTTGATCTTTTTATACTTTATGCTTTATGGAAGAATCTTACCCTTCAATGGAATTCGAATTTCATCGGAATTACTTTTAACAGATATACTTGTAGTCAGTTTGAAAAAGTAGATACAAAAGTAGACACTCCAGCTTGTTCGCGACAACGTATTTGTTTTATCGATGCGATTGTATAATCATGTCGTTATCTACGTTACATCGATCAGCTTTGCCGTATGGACTTACATTAA